CAAGAGCGAAAGCTTCTCAACTCCAACTCGATCCAATGATTGAACCTACAAAAAGGTTTGGTGATGCAGCCAGGAAACGACTGAGTCGTCTCCTCAAGAGCGGAGTATCTTATGAAACCGCCTTGCACCAAATTTTTGAGCGACGTACTCAGAATCTGTCTCAACTGGAGAAACAAACCCCCCCTGAGCAAGTTAGTAAACGTTTGCGCTCAAGTGATGATTCTCCAAAATCAGAGGCGAAAACCCATGTACGGTTGAATCTAAGGCATCCCTCTTATGGTGAGGTTGTCACAGGTATCAAGGTGGGAATCTTGCACCTTGACTATCTGACTACCTCGTTAATGATGAAACAGCAGAGCATATACTTTTTGCCTGCCCCTCTGGGGACCGAATCAGGTTTTTAGAGTTCGGCAGAGCCGTACTTTTAGCATCTGGCTTGAAATATCACTCACCACACAAAAAACAAACTAATCGGCTTCGTTAAGAAGCTGGGTTTATTTGGTCGAGTGTGAATAGGTGTGAGCTACAATAAACCTTTGCGAGTTGCGGTGGAGAGTCGAATAGACCCACTCACTTTGGACATAACCTAACCTAACCGTCCATTCATTCATAAATTGAATATAATAGAATAATAAACAATAATTTGAGGTCTCAACTTGGGACACTGACAAACTCAGAAGTGACATCATGACTGATCTGAAAAGGCTTTGATGAACTGAAAAAACCGATCATATACTGGGTGCCAAGACACTCAGGAATCGCTGATAACGGAAGAGCGGATACAGAGCAGATATAGATCATCAACTCCATATATGAACTAGCTGTGGAGGTACATACATTTTTGGTACGGAACCAAATTGGAGAAGGAGTCTATATGATACATATAGAGTACTGAGAAAACATACCTACCAAGGAGCACATGTGAGAAAAACTTCATAAATGGACCCCCGACAAGAGAATACAAGAACTGCTTGAACGAAACAGGGATCGGCTCAGAACAATTACAGAGCTACTCACTCGATATTGTCTGGCAAGAAACACCTGAACTACTAGGATGTTGTGTACCAACTGCTATTTCCAACTGAAGACGAATTCTTCACGCAAGATGAGGGACTGCCAATGGGATCGCTACTTTAACCAGTTATAACCGACATATATATATAGAGACAGGTTTGAAACTCTGGCCATCGAAGAAGCCCACACGAAACCCTAAGTCTGGTTGAGATACGTTGACGTCAACAGCCTGATACCTTCCATCACCTTGACTAAGGAGATGGAAGGTTGAGATACGTTGACGTCAACAGCCTGATACCTTCCATCTAAGGAGAAAACAGTCCACAACGAATTGCCATTCTTATTGGTGAAGAGGACCGACACTAGGTGGGAATCATCTGTATACCGAAAACCCACTCACACGGGACAGTATCAGAATGACGAATTTAACCACTATCAATCTACCAACAGAGTATTTATCGAGAGTCTAGTGGATCGTGCTTTTGGGCTCTGTAATATGTATATAGGAAGGCATCATCAAAAAAATCTTTAACGAAATGGTTACTCTAAAGTTATGATGGAACAGATTTTGACTAGGAGACAGCAAGGGCCTCACAAGGACGACAAGCTGTCACAACCAGTGCTTGCCATTCTTCCCTATGTTGATTTAGTTTAATCATCCTCATGAAGATGATCACTTGGTGATTGAAACACGTGTCGAGGTGTTAAAAAATAACGGTTGGGTGTTGGAATACAACTCCAGTAATATTCAATAATATACCAAACGGTGCATCACAAGTAGGTATATGTACTGATGGAGAAGTAGAAAGCCAAATCTATCAAGAATTTTTCAACAAAATATTATTGATGATCAAATGCGGTTTTTTCGATTGGTTGGGAAAGGGATCAAAAATATTCGTAGATAAACGATTAAGTTTTATGCCAACGTTTCGAACTTTATTACATCCATCATCAGGTCTCAAACATTAGTTATCCATGTCAAAAAAAGTGTCAGACAACATAGGTAGGTACAAATGAAAATGAGGACTAACCAAATGAAAACACATACACCACAGACACATTAAAAGTTAATATTATTGATGATATTTTTGACAAATAATTAATAATTTTCTCATATTCAGTTTATTTCATGTGGAAATTCGAAAAATAAAATGCTCTAGTTTACAGACAATCTTGAAGTTTTTGAGGTTCCGGAGCACAACATTTTATACACTAATATGTACCAAGGTAAAGTTTGTATCTACACTGTTTCTACAAATTCACAAAAACTGTTTCTTTTTCAGAACTGGGCTATTGAATTCGTGATGATATCCATCCAATATGAAAAACACAATATAAATTTAGCATAGAACGTCGTCTTGATTGGATATTCGGATTAGAAAATTAGGTTGAATCGATAGTTTTTGCATGGCGATGTCGTTTGTGTTTCCGTTTTTATAGTTGAACAAATAAGTATATGTCAATAATCCAAATTTATCTCTGGAAGTCGTGAAAAATGATTTCCTTGGATAAATCAGAGTATATTCATGAGATTTGAAGGATTTGATAGTGATGATTCATTTTCGTTTCCTTGCTCAAAATTATTTGTGTTTCTTGAAATCATTCTTTGATAAAATATATGTGATGCAATTTGCCGATTCTTGATGAAAATCCATGATGATAATATCTAAGTTTCTTTTCATATGGGAGTTTTACTGTGAACAGATTATAGAACCGCAGAACGTGTTTCTATAGTATGCTTCACACCATTCAATATTTCACTATCAAAAAATAATTTTCAGAGAAAAGTCAAGTTTTTCCCTGTTCACTTCAATGAAAGAAATAAAAACACATTTCCACTAGTTATTTTATTTTTACGACCGGTTTCGGGTTTTACCCCATTACGAAGTATAAAACTACTAGGTTATATAGGAAATTTCAGGTAAGCTGGTAAGCTAGAAGGCGAGAGTGTGGTAACCTACTAAATCGAGTTGCTCCTTTAGGGGTATACAGGGCTTTTCATGATGAGCGTTAATTAGCCGTTTCTGACAAACTATATAACTGATCAACCTGAAAATTTCACAGTATGCATAAATCACTATAGCGGCTTCTTTTCAAATGGAACACCCCGTATATAATATAATATTAGGATTCATTATCACTTTGTCAACAAATTCAACTATTTCCCTATACCTATCTATTACTGATATTTTTTTTAACAAACATGAACTTTTATAAATGCTGATTGAACTCTCTTGCACTAAAATGATCAAATTTGAAATGGAGTGGAGTGATACTATAAGGATCTTCACTCCGAGTCATATTTTCATTTGCCTCATAAAGGGTCTTCAAAAAATGCAGATACTTTGATCTCATGAAAAAATGAGTGGAACTCAACACCCTGTATATTTCAACATTTTTGAGCTCTACATCCAATTTTAGATTAACTTTGTTCAGATAATACTATTTCTATTTTGAACCGTTTTCGAGATAAACTGTTTCAAACGGAAATTGAC